CTGCTACGAACGATATTGTCTTTTTCGACTACCACTGGCAAAGATCGCGTTTGCGCGCCCCAATCGAAAGTCTAACGGAGTCGCAATTCGATATATGTATATCCATAGTTTCAAGTTTGGACTTCAAGGCCTACAGTACCATCAAAATAAATATATGCTTGAAAAATTACATTTTCACAAAAAGTTTGGCGAGCACAATTGAATTTTGCCTCGTTTTGTTAATACGAAATCTTCCTGCGTTTTCTAAAACCAATTTACTTTTTTCTCAAATTTAACTAATTTAATTAACAATTATTTAATTAATAAATTTAACTAATAAAAATTAATAAATTTAATTAATCTGAAAAAATTGATATCAAGTATACATACGTGATTTGGATATCGGGACAAAAATTGATAACGGAAGAGACAAGAGAAGGAAAGACAGTCCACGATTCGTTTCTTCGACATTGCGAGATCTGGTTTCGATATGTTTGTATTGTATTGAGTAATGTGTATTCCAATGGAAAGTTGTGTATAATGTAGAATCTATGACAGAATCTCTGCCTTAAGTGGAATGAGTCGATCGCAGTCGAGAAACTAATAGATACAATCAAATAGATACAAAACAAATCGAATGAATAACCGTTGGTGAGAGAAGTACGTCAGTTCTCAGATGCTGCTTTTCATATTTACAACTCGTGATCATAGATTGAATGACTGATCGTAAGCGAGAAGTGAATCGTTTTCTGTATAGAAAATAAAACGATCTTCTTTTCCGTCACAAATGAAGTTTTTCGAAGAGATGCAAGAAGTACAAAGGAAGGAAAGAAGATGGAAAGAGAAGAAAGGCGTTCGATTTGAATGCGTCTAATCAAAGTTAAGTCAGAAATAGTGGGGAAACTATTCGACCCGAGTCTCACTTAAGATAGAGCAAAGTGCACTTTACCGCGAGAATCTGACACTTTCCTCCACGAATACTTCTCCAAGATCTCAAATTATACCCGATAAGAGGCACTCGCGACTAATGAAAAAATTGCTTCCAGATTGCGATCGTTGAATCATGACGATTACCGCTTCCGCGATAATCTTCACTGTTCGCGGAATTGCACCTTGAAATTTCACTGCAGGGAAATCAAATTTGGAAATGAGACTTTCCTGATAAGTAAAATTAATATTAGCATATTATTCGTGGTGTTATAAATTCCGTATTAATTCTATTTAGATGAACACAAAATAGTTCTCATGTTATATAATCCTTTTTTATCGCAGAATTTTATAATTACATGTATCGGCTTTGTTATTGTGCCTATACGTATCATAGTCTTGATTGTTCTACTTATTAGATGATCTCGATATATAGCGATAGCTGTCCGTTATTAATTGCGAATAGTCGCGTGTCCCGTGAGGAAATATTCCAGTCTGTGCGAAAATGGTTCATGGCTGGTTCACGATATCTTTATGAGCTTTTACGCGCTCGTAAAGGCAGAAATGAAGTGACGGAGGAGAAAGCGGCGGAGTAGGGATAGTAGGGGTAACAAGAAAGCATGGATATTGCAAATTTGCGAGCCGCATTACCGGAGAGAAAGCATTTATGCCGCGGAGAGCAAGCACGAAGCACGAGTTGAGATATGAGGCGATACTATCCACCGGTGCGACGTCTATCTGGAGGACATAAAGCTTAACGCGTTAATAAAGGTCGGTAGTGCCGAGTCGTTAGCCTCTTCATGATTGGAAGATATGCGTAGCATCAGATACATCGTAGTTACCTAGAATTAATACAATAACATATTTCCAGAGAAAAGTACCATTATTAGAAAATTGGATATTGCAGGTTCCATTTTCACCGATGCTTTACAAAACAGTATAAGTATTAGAAAGCATATGAAACAAGTCAAGAAAATAGTACATAACTTGAAGTGTGAAAAAAATGTGTCATGAAAATAAGAAAAATTAAAAAGGCATGGTCGTTGATTAGAAATGTTATTAGCAGTGTTCTTTAAATATCGATATAAACAAAAAACAATTTGAAGACGGGCAACGTACATAAGTAGACGTGATGATAAAGACGTTTTACGATCGTAACGCGAGGTTGGGAAACAATTTATCACCGGAAGACTGACGAAAAAAAGAAAGAAGAAGGAGAGGGAAAGAGAGAGAGAGAGAGAAAAGCTGACACCCCACCGCGCGGTGCTTTAACGAGAAAAATACCTGCAGTCGTCGAGCAATTTTATTTACAATGGTTAAACGAAATCTTGAAGAATGTAAGCGGCGAACTCGTAAATCGCACCGCGGAATCTATTGTGCTTTGACTTAGAAAAATAAACCCCGTTACATCACCGTCGTATATTTCAACACACAGCGACTGTATAACTTGGATGGAAGGCAAGGTAACGCTGTTTTGCATTCTCCATCACGCTTCGCGTATTCAGGGCACGATGAAAAAGCATATTTTTCAAATACAATGCGTTAAAAACTACCAATTAGTCAGTCCTTCGCGGCGCGGGCGTTCTTTGAGAAATGTTAATAGCGAATATCAGCAGGAAGTTGCGCTTGGAAAACAAGCGAACAAATACAATCACCGCAAAAGACATCGCGTGAAAGCCTCGGGTGAGACAGTAAGTGAATGTAAATACCAGCACAGCTTAAGCCGAGGATGTCCCAGGAAATGGAAATATTTGCGGATGGTTTGGTGCCACGAAAGTTCGGTATTCATTTAAATGGCGATACCCACAAGTTCTCGATTCTGCTAATCAGCTTACTGATTTTCCTACGCGCTAGTTTCACTCTGATATTAGTTCCAGATATTTATCGTGAAATTGTCTTGTTAATAATAGCCTTAGAATTAATATCAGCTAATATAAGCTATTAGGTAAGGTAAGGTACATGATTAAGAAACGATAATCCATGCCTAACTTTAGATAAGAATTTTTGCACTAGTTTTATATAAAAGACGTATTCTTTGTATGAAAGAATAATACTAGCTTGATAATGCGTTAACGATAAGTATGGGGTATAAAAACTTTCAACTCCTTACAAAGAAAATACATTTTTCTCATAATCATATAGCAGATATATATATATATATATAAAATATATATAATATATATAAAATAATATATATAAAATTCATTTATAGAGATAACGATGAAGAGTCTAACGAAGATATATACTTAATTATGTTTTATTATTATTTAACTTTGAAAAGACAAAGTTTTCATTGTTTCATCGCAAAAATTTATAACGCTCTTATATTTTTTTCTGACTGCGAAAAAACACAATAGTACTTTGTAAACATATAAGTGGTTTAAATTGCTTTTCGATTGTCGTATAAGCTCCTTGATCCGATTATATGAGGTAAGTCGTAAAATTTATTGGTTATCGCTTCATGAAACCGATAGTTATCGATTTGATGTAAGAGAGTATTCTGCGATCGTTTCTACATTTCTGTGTTAATTCTATATAGAAAGATCGTACAGAGAGAATAACAGAATCGGATGATGGTGGTTAACTATAACAAGAGAAACTCGAACACAAGAACGTAAGCCAGACTCGCGATGTTATTTATCGACGACGGCGATATTCGGTTAATAGAACGGTGCGCGATTACACGGAAGAAGATTTTATCAACGTAAGTTCGGATTTGTTTTATCGGTTGTACTTAAATGCGTGTTTCCGAACTTACCTATCTCTCTCTCTCCTCGAATGATGAGTAATTACGTTACCATGAAAGGAAAGTACAATGCTCTCTGGATCCTTCTCGAGCAAGCAGGTGTGTATAGTCGTTACTCTTTAGGATCATTTGTTCAACCGTTACGTTAAGGGTCAGGGCTAGAAATGATAAACGACCCGTTCTCTTTACCCACCTTCTCGCCATCGGGCTTCGTCCCGTGTGTTTCTCCTCCGAGATCACCTCCGAGGGGAATATAACGGGCGCGTTGGAAGAAGAAAAAGGAAAGAAGGGAGAAAAATACCGCCCCGGTCCCTTCGTTCACCTTCGTCTTAATGTAGGCGAAATTTAAAGAGGCAGCTTCTCGCTAGCAAGGGTTAAAGAGAAAATTCGTGACCTCGATTGTGATGACGATCAAGATGACGATCAAGACGACATTGATGACGGCGCGGGCGCATCGTGACGGGAAAAACGCGCAAGGAGGCACGCGAAGACGCGCCGCCCTCGGGACGATTTAAATCAATTCGCCGCGCACCGTGGTAGATAAATTCCCGGCCTGACGTTTAAGCGATCGCGAAAGTTTTTCGTAGCGAGCTGTACGTGCGATATGGCCTGGTATAAAAGTTTGCTCTTCAAACGATCCGGTCGGCAAACTTCTTTTCGCGCTCGTACTTCGGGTATACCGGTGCATGATTAAATCGGGTATACCACATCGCGAATGATGTATGCGAATTGCTTGCGTTCTGCGCTGACGTACGTGCGTTCGATTATCGGCAAGTAATTACTTATGCAAACTCGAGGAGCGAACTTCTCGACACGTCGGCGCGTATCTCTCCGAATTTATCTCTCCGCGGCGGCGGCGCGCGGCGTGGCGCGACGAAACGAACGGCAGCGCGGCGATAAAGGAAAGCGAAAAAGTTGAGGGGTGTCGTTATAGAATTTAAGTCCGCGCGGATAATTTTGCGGTAATGGAAAGCCCTATCTCTAGAAGAAGAAGGCAGAGCTTAGCTCAACATCGGTATCAACCAATCCCAGGTGTTCAATTGGCGCTCCGCCAGAATTTAAGCTCGGCTTAAATTTCGCGCAGTTGCTACGTAACTAGGGCAGATTCAGATTAGAATTAACTAATTGTTGCGTACACCGTCGTAATTAGGCAGGATTCCCGCATGCTCCCCGCGCATACTAATATTTGATAGAAACCTAACCGCGAGATATCGCGCAGAGAGGAAGTTAAATCTACTCCATTCGCACGCAATCGTGACGTTTCACAATCGGTAATCTGCTTTTCAACTCTTTATACACACATTTAATTGAGCGTAATCCAACGTAAAACTATATCGAAATAACTTACCGATTACATTTAAATGGACTAGATGACTCATGTGGGGTGTTGTGGAGACCTGGCATTCGTAAATACCGCTGTCCCGATGCTGCGGATACTTTATTTGGAGCGTCCAGTCGTCCGAATGAGCGTTGTGGATCGCTCGAAATCGCTGGTCGTTCGTGTACGTATAACGGCCAATTGTGAGCAAATGGACGTCCCTGTGCCGTACCCACGATACTTGTAGCGTCATCTGCAAAGGAGAAAATGAGATGAGTTAGGACGCGGACGGACGAAAAAAAAAAGACGGGAAAGACCGATCCACGAGAATCACGAATGATTTCACGCTGGTTGAGCTTAGTCCGGACCTGGAATCTTTTGTGTGCTTGGTTAAGGGTTACCCATTGTACCGGGACATGTAATTAGTGGTTCGTTTGTGTCTGGCGTGCTGGTAATTAGCAAAATATCGGTCAGAACTTTCAATCACGCTCCCGACCAAGAGCTTTCAACGCTGTGCTTGGTGCGACTTGTCAAACAAGCAAGTTTTCTTGTTTGATAAGCGTGCACGAATCGAAATACGAATAAATAAAATTTAAAGAAACAAAGCTTTTATATAAGGAATTAATAAAAATTCTTAAGTCGGAAAAAACACGAACTAAATAATTCAGTTTTTATTTTTGCACGTTGGAGAGTTAGAAAAGTGTGATCGTTCACTTCGAAAGGATAATTCATCGCAGCGCAAACCAACTGTCGTCTTTTTGACAGATGTAACGCGCGTGCACGAGACAGCGACTCGTAAGCTGATACCGCTGTCGCGGTTTCCAATGGCACATGTAATAGAATAAATTACAAAGCGTACGCGAGATCTAAATTCAGACTTGTGAGCGGGATATACGACGCTACATCAGATACAACTTTCGAGCGTGCGCTCCGAGCGAGCGTTCCTTCCTTCTCGTACGGAGGAATTAATAGAGTCGCTTTGCATATCGTTGCGAAGTTAGCGTGCGAGATAAAACGCCTCGAGCTGCGATAATTGGACACCCGGACCCAGCGACGTGTAAATATTTGCATCCTTCGAGTAAGGTCGATACGCATTACTCGAAAGGCATTACATGAACCTGTGCATGCAGTAATGGTTCGGATGCGTTTCAACATGCTACTGTAGATGTCCTAAATGTGGCTCTGTCCCATGCGGAAATGTTCGTTCCCGCATTGCCCTCCGATATTGCCGGACAAATTGAATGTCACGGTATCGAAAGTTAAGTTCATATCGAAGGTCGAAATTAATTAAATTTTAATTAAGAGTTAATGACGCGACCAAGTAAACATGCGATACGTAACGCAACACATGGAAAATTGAATTAATCGAGTTAAAATTAACTGAATTTGCCATACTAGTTGTTCCAACAATAACTTCAAACAGTTAGTTAAATATTACAAACATGAGATCGCCATAGCGTAATGCGTAATGCGTAGTAATACTCATCCTCTGCACTGTTTCGCGCACTGTCCTTAAATTTTAATGCTCGCTTCAATTTCTGTCCGAAGTCTTTCATTAAGTGCGCCATTGCCTGGATTCCGGGGGACCGATATACCTACCTACTACAACTATATTCTCTCTCTTTCTCTCTCTCTCTCTCTCTCTCTCTCTCTCTCTCTCTCTCTCTGTATATATATATATATCTTCGTTCTCTCCGAGATTCGCTTCTCTGGATCCTTATCCAACTCACTTCGTAGTTTCCGAGAGGACCTCGCTCGGTGGGTCCTACCGGACGAGTACGAGTTGCCGCGGAAGTTTCGGCGACCTAAAGATGTCCCTTGTTCGAGAACTTGCAGTGATATCCGAGCAGATAAGGAAGAGGTAGTCCGTTGATAAGGGTGTCTTCTTAGTGGGAAGAAAGGGGGGAGAGAGAAAGGGAGAAGAGAGAGAGAGAGAGAGAGAGAGGGGATGGGTAGGAGAGAAAGAGACTTTCATCCTTAACGACGAAAGATGAAATCGCGCTGAAGAAAGCCTCGTAAGTAGATGCATTCGAGTTTGGTCAAACAAGACTCCCTATCTCGTTTTTGCCGCGCATAGTTTTATTACGCTTGTCGCGCGTGTGCGTATCGCGCGCACCCGTTATGTCTCCTGTTAATTTATGATATGCGCGCCCGACATGAAATGGCATAGTTGCTCGAAGGCTTCCGGCCGTGCCGGATTCAGGACGGTAGGTCAAACACTGTTGACTCTGCATCCTGCGTTCCTGGTTCTCGCATCGGCTCCTGACGCCGAACCGCATAGTTGGCCTTTGCATACCGATTCTGTTGTCATCACGCAAATACGATTTATGCGAATTCCCTTTCTCGTAGCCCGCCGAATGCAGATAGATAGATGGATAGATTTATTCTGTCGTTTGATAAATTTGCTGAAAATGATGGCAGATATTAAGTGAAATAATAGATGATCTGATATAACTATAAATGTAAGAATTTGAGGATAGAAAAATTATAACGGTTAATAATAATATTACGGTATTCAAGAAATGCACCACTGAGATTTTAATACTGCAGTAACGAAGATAGACAGTAAATATTAACGTTCATTCCTCTCACAACCAGATAAAATAGTAGAATGTTAAGTAACTTGTTTGTGAAAGGCTGGATACCGTAAATAAATAAAACAGTATTATCTACCGGAATAGTGAACACGTAGCCTCGTTTGATGAGGAATCGATCAATTTACCGTTTCGTTGTGATGTTATGCTGCTTGACATGCGAGTTATTGCAATCGATTTCGGGTGAGATTACCGCTGGAAGTTTCCGCCAGCGAATCAAATATAGCGTGCACACATTTCCAACGATGGAGAATTTTCGATGAGTTTTACGCCCCATGGCGGAATTGATATAATTACCGATCAATTATCTCGCGTAAACAAATCCCGCATAAGAAAGAAGATTCTGACTTTATTTTATACCGGATAACATGAGAACGTGACATGAAAAGTAAATTACCCTCTCATCCTCTCTCTCTCTCTCTCTTTCTCTATCTATCTATCTCTATCTATCTCGTCATGAAACACGTTATAGTACATCTGAGAAATCAGCCCGACTCACGATGGCATATTCTGTTGAGAGATACAAATCGTTATACAAAACACATATAAGACTCCGCCGCGTAACGTAACTTTGGTCAGTTCGATAATTAATACCGGATTGATTTCGTCATGGTTATATAATTGTTCCCGTTCTAATTGTGCTTGTCAAACTGTGATTTACGTGATATATTTTTTGTGGTGTTGCTTTAAAATTGAATTTAAATCGCGAATAAAAATAATCTCTCAAATAAATATATCGATGAAATCCGCCAACCCAAATTACAAGCAAGCAGAAAAGTTCATTATTCGCATATTATAAAATCAAAATTGACAGTTTTATAAACCAGAGGGAAAGCTGTTCTTCTGAATATGATCGTATTTTTGAATTATCATAATACGCTCGCTCATAAAATTTACGCTGCACTGAGAGATTGTGAAATTTAAACGAGACTATAAAGTGTATTCGAGTCTATAAAAGTATATGCTGGTTTGTTATAAGGCAATTAACTGAAAAATAGTGTGCTAATACGATACATTTGAAATTATTATTTTACCGAATAAAGTCAGATTATCGACTGCCACTTTCATATATAAACAATCGTTTTATTGCCTGGCGAATATAGCTGCTATGCCACAGGCACTCGATTCGTTCGATTTCAAGATAAAAACGCAATTTAATCATTAAAAACTGGCAATTTTTAATTGGCAACGTGAAAAACGTATTTTGTACGTAACATTATTAGTTCGATTATTATCCCGATCGATAGTATTACGAACATTAAGCCGATTAAAAAAAGCGGAGAGATTAGGTACGAATCGATATAACGAGGTAGTCTGAACTTCACAATTATGTTGGTCGTTTATCTCTTTTGTCTTTTCATTTATTATATATCAGTTTTGATATATTTATGGTTCTTATACTTCTTTTAACAATTGAAACAGTTTGAAACTTAACGAATGTACTCTGTTTCTCTCTCAAATTGTTTCTTATTAAAATAACCCAAATTAATTAACAATTACTTAACATGCTAATCAAGAAAGTTACATTTATTAAATGCGGTTGTAATTTTTAAAATTACCGTACTATTCGCGTACGTCGTTACATTAGATAATGTAATTCACGCGCCAATGACAATTCGTATCTGTCACGATTTGTATCTTGAGCAGGTTTATCTTGAGACAATCGTTCTAGGGGTCAATAGGAACGAATAGTCTATTTAGGTACCCCATGGGATTGTGCCTATATCCGCGCAATTTTATCTCAACAATCTCCATTCACGACGATCAAATTGTCCATGAAGCTGTTTCTACCTCTCGACGACGACTTCACGCCCTTCTGTTCTTTCACAAGATATTTTTGCCGTATCTTGGTCAAAAGTGTCTGGAAAATCTTATTGCTCTATCACGTTACGTGCGATATGTTTGCAAAAACTCGTTTATTATTCGTCTTTTATCATGTGATTTATTCGTCAATTTCAGCTTTGTTCCTGTCGTCTTATCTTATTATATTGAAAACATTGCGTTTTTCTATTTATATTATTCTCTAACTTGAAGAAAACTAAATCTAACATTAATGTCAACAATCGTGAAATTGCACAAATCAAAATATCGAATGCATATAGTTGCAAAAATATAAATATATAACTTATACAAGAGACCATAAGGCTTTATGTTTATTTGAAAAGAATCCGATCACAGTTTCGCTGAAAATATTTGCTGGCGACAAACAGGATTATCACAGGAGAAAAACATGCTTTTAGCGCAGCATTGCGGTGGTCCGAAGTGCGCGCGAGTGCGCGCGTATATTAGCATTTCTCGTATATATTTTTCGTCGGTTTATGCGCATATTGCCGGCCGGAGGCGCTAATTGCCGTTGTCGCACTCGGCTGGTACAGGAAGAGCGTTGTTTTATTCCGCGCGTACCGGATGTGCATCGTGCATCGTGCATCCTACATGTACAGACGAATGCGACAATACACACGAACGCGTTGTCCCGTCCGATAAGCTTCTCACGAGGATTACAATGTCGCGCGCAGTTCACGTTGTCCCTATCCGCCCTATCCCCATACGCCTGCATTTTTTATCGCCTGTGCGATTTTCGAGACGACTCACATACGATTAACGGTACTCTACGCGTGTTCTATGCTCTGATCTTTTAAGAAGAAGATTGCGTCAAGCA